TATCAAAATGAAGCTTTGTGATGGGTCCTTCAACAGTTATCTTATAACTGCTTTAGCTGAACCTTTGGTTCAGTTACTAATATGCCACTGAAACATAATTATAAAAAGTTTAAAAAACAAAGTGAAACACTATATTCACCAGAACTCAAAATCTGTCATCCTTAATCATGTTTAACCTGACAAAAATTAAAAAGTTACTTTAGCGGCCTCCCTGGTGGTGCAACAGATAGGAACACTTCTTTAAAGTACTTAATGGAAAACACCATTTATAAAATACCAAAACAGCAAGAAAAAGTACCAAAACTTTGTACAACAATCTGTATGCTATATTGGGTACTGATTCTCCAATGGAGATGGCAAATTCTACAATGAAGATGATTGGAGCCCTGAATTTTCATGAGAACAAGACCCTAATTTTCTTGCTGTAGTGAGTACACCAGCACCTAGCATGCAGTATAGGAGTGGAGGAGATACAGGAGTTAAGAAGTTAGGCAGGAGAGTTGAATGTCTTAGTTTGACTCTCAGCTCTATCACTACCTGCCTATGCCTCCGAGTAATTTGTCTAGTCTCTTTGTACCTCATTTTTTTAATCTATAAATTGTATCTATCACAGATTATCTTATAAATTGATCATAACAAACACATGATAGTATTTGTGCTAGACATTTCTAGTCATTTTTCATTTATACATTATTTATTCATTTAATCCTACTCCAACACTTTTGACATAAAAACTAATATGCTAATTAAGAAAGGAGGAAACTAAGGCTCAGTGAAATTAGTAATCTGCACAAAGACACAACCAGTAAGTGGCTAAATGAGTTCATGTTGCTAACAACTTTTAACAACAAGCATCCTTGAGATTACAGTACAATGGCACATAGTACATGTTCAATAACTAACATCTAGTGAGAATAATAAGAACTTAGCAAATACTTGCAAAACTCTGAGGTTTCACCAGGCTCAATAAGAATGAATGCTGGGATAGATCAACTGATGATATGTGAGTGATGACACCTGTGTCACAGGTTACTGTTCCTCTGTCACATAAAGCAAAGAATCCTGATATCTGACTGCCTGAGTATTCCCTTCCAGTTTCAGTGTGGCTGGGATCCTATGCCAGGCTGTTATTATCTGACACAGACTTACCACCTCCACTCTCTCTCTGTGCTAATCCACAGCCCACCTAATTGCCAAAATACTCTTCCAGAAATGCGCTTTCATCATTTACTCCCTTTTCAAGGAAACTACCTTGAATTGCAACAATATCAAATCAAAATTCTATCCCTGACTTTCAACGGCCTTAATAAGACATGGAAGGAACATACTTTTAAGTCTCATTCAAGTGCCTAAGTGTCTACTTATCAAGTAAATACTTGATGAGAATGGCCACATTTCATCACGTAGAAAATAGTGATATTTGTGCTACTTAAAACAGTAATATGCAGGGCCTCCCCTGGTGGCACAGCGGTTGAGCACTGGGCTGCGAAGCTGCCTGCAGCCTCTGCAGTGCTAGTTCCTTGCGAGGGTTCCCCCCCCCCACGCCCACCGCCAACGCAAAAAAAAAAAAAAGTGATATGCAAATTTTTTATTTTACTGATTTATTTTGGATATGCTCAATAGAAAAAAAAAACTTAAATGTCTGAGATATGTTATTTTTATTCAGAATGAAGCAAGCTTGATTAGGGAATGACATAAAAGGCAGAATATTAAAGAGAATATTTGGATTACTGATACCCACTATAATGTTAACATTATAACATATATATATATAAAACATATTGGCAACAACATCAAATTAATTTGACTTGTGTAATCCTTGCAATATCTAGGTGGGCTGCTGCCCCATTCATGAATCCCTTAGTAAGTTTGATTAAATCTCCAAATTTATGAATTGTGTTTTTTTAACACAGGATGTGATTTGCTTAGAAGGGTAAATAATTTCTGACAAAAGTCACATCCAGATGTGTCCACATCCAGATTATTCTTGAGTTGAACATTCTGATGTCAACTCAGGATTTCTAAATGTACATTCACACACTCAACCAGACAACTCACATGTTCAGACAGCTGGGATAAGCAAATCAGCATGCATATATACAGTGTCTTTTGTTTGGCTTTGTTTTGTTTTGGAAGGATTGCTATCATTTGTTCAGCTAAAGAAATATATCCTCTTAGTTAAACATATAAATTGGCTTCCATTTGATGGAATGTTTGGTGATTAATATAAAATAATGGCTAAAAATAATCAGTACTAGAAGAAGTGATATAGTCAGGTTGGGAAGACAAAAACATTCTAGAATTGTTATTCATTTAATGAATATTTTTTTGAGCAGCTGCAATTCATCAGCCCTCAGGGGCAGAAATCTGGCTTTAATAAGGGTCATTTCTCATGATTTCAATTGAAGTTACTTACACATCTTTCACAGGGTTGAGAAAAATTGGTAGCATTAGACAGAGAATTAAAACTCTGAGAAATAAAATTACTTATAATTGCTAATGCATCCTCCAGGAAGGCACCTTGCATTTCCTGGGGATCATCTACACTTTTCCTCTCACAGTTCTTCTATGCTTCATATTTTCAGCAAAAATTACCAGGCTTTTGTTTTCTATAAAATTTAATCTCTAGCTGGATTGTAACCGCAAGCATACGTGAGAAGAGTCCTTGAAGGAAGGATATGATCAAACTGTGTTTAAGTCTTATGAGCTGAAAGTAAAAAAGAAGTAACTATTATTAACAATTCTCTAGGTGTTTTTATTAGTCCTTCTCAGGAGTGAACTAACGAGTTGTCTTCTCCAGGGACAAATCTCTCTATAAAGGGATACAGACAGCTTGTCTCAGGACAAGGGTGCCCTCTCCCCTAAGACCTCTCAGTGGCAATAAGAGTTCTATGAAACAAGGCAAAAGTGAGCAAGAGACTAGCCCTGAAAACCTGAATGTGGGTAAAGGACTGAGATTCTCTGTTTAATCACTTAAATAGTACTTACTTTACAAAGATTATAAGAAAACAAATTTCTTCTTCAAATTCCCAAGAACCAGCTGATACATTACAGTTGAAATATAGTCAAAGCAGATTTCCAAGAGGCAATTTGCTTCACACATCACATAAGTAAACAGTAAAACCAGTAGCCAGCACAATTTCCAGGTAGATTTCAATAGCGTTCATGTTTGGGAATGAAGGCGCTTTACGGGAACAAATGGCAAATAAGAGGAGCCTATCTTCCAAAGATATTAACTTATACTAGAAATGAACATAGATATTTATAGTGTGCCTACAAAATACATACCATAATTCTGTCCTATAAAACTTTTTTTTGGTACAGTACATTTTTGAAGTGCAATTTAGCATCCATCTCACAAACATTAAATCATATTGAAATAAGTTCTGGGGCTGGGGGCGGGTGGGGTGGATAGAACACAGTGGCTTAATCTGTATAAAACCACTTCAGAAACCTACTAACCACTTCCCCCCCAAAAAAAAAAAAATTTGGAAAAGGAAATCCAACATTCAGGTGCAATTTATCTATTGGGACAAAATTTCATATTGACCTTGCCAGAGTCTTGAGTCAATGAATTACAAATCAGCTTTCTATCAATAGTCATGTTCATTTTAATTTTGAAAAGGCCTTAATAATGGGATTTCATTTTCTTCTCATGGTCAGCAGGATATTGAGAAAGCAATGGGCTTGAAATAGGTAATGTGAAAGGGTGGGACTAGTCAGGAACAGGTACGACTAGTCACCAGCCAACCTGTCATCAGAGGGTCGTGGTACTAGGAAGACGTATGGACTCCAGGTAGAGGCAAGTTGTCTATAATTACTCTGTTGATGTTCCCTTCTCCTAACATACACCTTGTTCCACTTGTGCTTTGTGTTTCCATGAGCAGCTACCTCCTTCCAGGCACATGGGGACATTTCCTAGGTTTATGAGCAGCCATGATCACCATGTAACCCACGGAGTGTGGAAAGATCAAGCATGTCTGCTCCATATTGGAGGATCCAGACGGCCTCAAAGGAGATAAAATCTTTCAGGACTGCTTAAAAATTCCTCTAAGACTGCCGTGGGGAGTCAGCCTAGACTCCTACCCTCCCCTGTAGTCTTTGAATATAAGGTCTAATAAACTTTGCCTGGTGTAACCACACCCAGTACTCTCTGGTGAGTTCTTTCTCTCCAGGGCAAAGGACTCTTTTCTGGGTCTGGGTCTGTAACAGATTCACTGGCACTTACTATGAAAAATGTCTGTTTTACTTACTACCAAACACTGATTTCCTCTCCCCTTCCAAACCACCCAAACACAGATTTTTTATTCCAGTCTTCTAGATCAGGTTCTGATTCCTGAATTACTTATGTGATGATAAAAAAAGCAAACAAAAAACAACTACAATCATAGCACCTTTGACTCTTGGCTTTCAGCCATGAGGGTTGCTTTACAGATTTGTAGAATGTTATTTTTGTGGTATTCCACTTCTTTGTTACTCAGGTGAGGGAAAAGGTCTTAAAAGTCTCTCATAAACTACATAAGAAGGAAATCTAGAAAGGTGTGCCATGGACCAGCAGAAATAAAGGTCTGTGTTTTCCTCACTATCCTCTCACCGGGCACCACCAAAGACAGTGAGCTGACATCCCTAAGGCTGCACCCCGTCTGAACCAGAAACAGACCCATAGGTCACCGCCAGAGTCCCGCCCCCGCACCTGGAGCCAGAGCTTCCTGCCTCCCTCACAAGGTGAAACTAAGCCCCAGGGGCTAATGGGGGGTTGAGGGGGGGCAGTTGGGGGGAGGGCGCCCAGAGACTGCTCTGGCAGAGACTGCAGGTCGCGGTACCAGCAGGAAGGAAGTGAGCAGCCAGCCACACTGGTCTTCTCCCCGCAGAGCAAGCCTGGGACTAGATGCCGCCAGTGGAAGACGGGCCGGCGCGCGTGGGGTCACTGGGCACACGCACCGGGCGTGCACACCGGCCTGGGCGGGTGCGCGCTCACACTCACGCGCGCGCCTACTCACCAGCAACCCCTAAAGTCCGGAGCCCGCTTGGGACGGCGACCGCAGCAGCTGTCCCCGAGCCCGCCGAGGGGCCTTGGCATCCGTCTGGCCGAACAGCCCGGGTCGCGGAGGCTTTTGCTGGAAGGCCCTGCAGCAGGGCGGTGAGGCACACAACGAGGAGGCACCGGCTCGCCCGCCTGGGCCGGGCCACCTCCCCCTCTTCCTCTGCGGACCGATGGAGCTTTGCAATCAATAGTTCCAGTCCCTGGGGCTCCTCGCCTAGCACAGCGCTTCCTCCGCCTCTGGTTCGCCGCCGTGGCTCGCTGCACCCGGAGGCTGACAGCGACCTCGCAAACTCACGCGCAGGTCGGACGCCCCAGCAGCTGCCGTCCCTGCAGCCACCGCTGCAGGAAAAGAAATTGTCACTGCGATGGTCTCGGCCTCCCCTGCCCCGGCCCCTGGGGCCGCCTCCGCCGGTGCCTCCGCCCCTCCCTCGCGGCGGCGGCTTCCCGCATTCTGCAGAAAAAGCTCGCAGGTGGAAACAGGCCCCTGCAGATGGCCAAGCCCGAGAGTAAAACTATTGGGTGGGACTTTGTCCTCTGAAATCTTGCCCGTCCCCTCCTCGGCCCGGAACCAGCTGGACTCGCATATTGCTCCACCTTCAATTTCACGGAATTGAGCAGGAGTGGGTTCCTCTAAGAGTGCCCTGCACATCCCATGGTGCAGCTGGATTTGACCACGCAGGAAGCTGTGGAGAAGGGAGCAGGATAGGCTTTGGGTGAAATCCCCACTTACACCTGGTTTTAGGTATTGCACTTGAGGTTTGTCCATAACCTACCCCCATCATGAAACACTTTAGTCCTCTTCCCCCTCCCCACCTCTTGTACTGGGGGGAATGAAACTATTATGACACCTTCTGGATTTTATTGTAACAATCATTCACTGTGTTTTTTGTATGGTCCTGGCGCTGTGCCTGGCACTCTGTACATGAAGGCTTGAGTCACACCTAACACAACCTTATAAAAGCTATTCTTATTTTTCCTATGTCCGAAACACAGAGAAGTAAAATGATTTGTACCAGATTATCCACCCGGAAAGTGGTAGAAGTTGTGCTTTAAATTCTGAGCTGACACCAAAAGCTATGTCTATTTCTTAGGCAAATCCTACTCCTACTAAGGTATGTAAACATTTTACCAGCTCTGCTATGGCTAGATAAAACACAGGTACTTTTCCTGAGTTAGTTAGGGTGGGAGGTTACTTGCCAGAAATGACTGCAGAGTGGAATAGTGAAGCAGAGGAATGGATTTCCTAATCTGTTTGTGCGAGTGAGACCAAATTTCTAGTCTTGGCTCTTCCACCAACTGAGTCTAAGTCCTTCTACCCTCTTAGACCTCCTCTCCCTGCTTCAGGTTTCAAAATGAGGACATTTGTCTAGGGCGACCTGAAGTCTGGATTTTTAAGAAGCAATAGTATCATAGTCTTTCCAGTTTTGAATTTGGTTGCAAAGTTGAAGTTCAGGAGATTTCACAAAAATTCAGATTTCTGGCATTTTCTGAAAAATCAGAAAATCTACCCGCCTTTGGCCCATGGAAGTTTCTAGCAGTCATCAGCTGGAGCCAAGTAGGTGTCCCCTCTAGATTGGGAAGCTGCTCTTTAGTTTTCCATAGTTGCCACCACTCCTACATTCCTTGCCCCACTGAAAATTAAGGACACAGTAGATATTTGATTTTGTAGTTCTTTACTAGATAATCTCACGAGCTTCTAGGCTGACTCAAATTCAGTGATGATTAAAATCAACCAGATTCCTAGAAAGAATCATGAAACAAAGAGTTCCACATAAATCTATAGCAGTAATTGATGGTCTTGCTGCCTGGAAGACAAACTTTCATGAAAACCAAAATGGACCAACAGTGACCTCCACCTCCTGGGAATTAGGCCACCATTTTATGGCCCAAGTTCAGGCAATCAGAGGCTTCTATCCTGGTCTTCAAATCCGAAGCCTGTGATTCAATGACTGAGACATTTCAGATATGATTTCATTATCTGTGAAATGGCTTTTGTGCCCACAAACAGCAGAGAAGGGGGACAGGTGGCAATGCCAATGGAATACTAAGTGGGTTGTGTGGTGTGATTTGTTCCATGCTTCCCTGCCAGTTAAATGACCTGATTCTATAGCCTTCTTGTCTGTTTAATATGCCACCCTATGTCCTTGCAGGAAATTTCTCTTCTGATTATGTTGCCCAGAATTGGTTTTGGCACTTGCAACCAAGACCTCTGATACAGTGGCTCTGAGATAACCCAAAGCCTGCTTCCCTTTCATTCACTGAATTAATGAAAAGTGGACCTAAGTGTATTATATAACTTTATCTTAGAGCATTTTAAAGTTTGTATAATCTTACTTGCATTTTTAAAGATTCAATTCAATATTAACATAAAATGCAAATTTTAAAAAAGATGAGTATTTTTACCCTTAGCGATTACATTAGCAAATACATTTTTAAAATAAACATTGCTCGGGGTAACTCTCAGGATGAATGAAATGAGGCCCCTGGTGGTGGGGTAATTCAGATACCTGTTGTTGGAAAAGGAATTTGAGTTGGAAAAGGAATTGATAGCAACAGAAGCTATAAAAGTACACATCCCTTTCCCCAAGTAATTCCACTTTTAGGAAGTGATTTATCCTAAGGAAATATGAAGTGAGAAGAGAAATATCTCCACTGAGATTTTTTTTTTTACTAAATTTGGATATTAATATTATCTTCTTGATATGTGTTTAGAAACATCAAAGCGGCTTATGATACAGTGTTAAGCAACAAGGGTACAAAATTGTATATGCATATATTTGTATGAAAGTAAAAAAACGGGAAAAAATCTAGAATTTATTAAAATTACCACCTAGAGAATACATTGGACAATTATAATTGCCTTCTTTGCATTTTACTATAATTTTAATTTCCTGGGATGGGGAATTCCTTCCTATTATTTAGAAATAAAGAAATACTTAACAATTTAAATGAAACAATTGCTAGCCAGAAAAATATGAGGTTTAATCTATCACAGTGCCTTATTAATAATAGGTACTTGATAGCTATTTGAGGGAAGACTAAAGAAAGAAGGAAGGAAGGGAGATCACACTATCTCACAGAATAAATGAATTAGGGATTGTAACTGCCCTGCCATTTCCTTGGTTGATGGCATATTAGAGATAGGACATTCTAAATTGCTTCATTAAGTAATACTGCACTTGAATCTTTCCCAATTGTGACAGGTGACACAATATTAATACCTTTTCTCACTGGATGAGTAAAATGGAGCCAATAGTCAATTTTGTTTTTCCGGCCCCAGTACCTCAGAGAGAGATGTATTCTGAGAGGTTGGAAGACCCCATGGTATTGGTGCTCAAAACAAAGGGGCTTCTTCTTGCTTCTTCTCCATCAAAGGACAATCCTGTCCCTGGCCCCATCCCTGGCCCCCTCCCTGCCAAGATATTCAGACAGGCCTTCCAAAACACTTTGGCATGTTGGTTATTTTGAGCTAAGGTCAATCAAGGCCCTGTGATAACTCAAGAGAAACTTTACCATTCCCTTAACTACCTAGTACAATGAAAATAGAGATATTACTCAGAATTCTCAGAGAAACCTATTTCTATGGCACAGTAAACGCGTACTAAGTCATCCTCTCCTTGTCATGTGAGTCCCCTTCCTCTCCTTGAAGCCTCAGTTCTCTCTCCCAGCCCTTTGCTCAGAATATATACCCTCATTGGCCCCATTGGTATTAAAATCAACAGCTTTGTAAATTGCTCATATGTGCATAATTAAATGTTTGTTTTTCTCCTACAAATCTGTCTGGTATTAAATTGAATACTCTAGTAGTCCAAGAAGAAACCAAAGGGAGAAATTTCCTCTGCTCCCCAACACTATCCTATGGTGGTCTGCCACTCTCTTTGGCACATCCTAAAATCCAGGAGAATCTCTTTTCTTCCCAGCTTTTGGTGGGAATTTTACTTGTTGGACAACGGTACAAAGAGAAAGTATTTACAGTTGAATTTACAATTATCAGGAAATCAAGATTGTATATATAACTCCTGTATTTGTTTGGTGTTTGTACATAAATTGGTGGCCCTTGGGCTCCTAGCCACTCTTCCCGAAGTCCTTTTTGAGACCAGACAGGCTAGAGTTCTTATTCTTTGCTTCGCACACGTAGAATTTCCTGTGTCTGGATTATCTTTAAAGTCAAGTTCTCCAGGGAAAGACAAGAGAGAGAATACCCAACTGACTCTGTTGGAAGGAGCATGCACCTCAGAGATTATCTACTTAAAAAGCATGTGCTCCAGGAATTATTCTGTTCTTAAAAATGTGTTTTTAATGTTTTCAAAAATAAAACATCTTAAGTTTAATTTCAATCCTTATTTTTTAAATTTATTTTATTAGTTTTTTTCCTGTAACATTGTTTTGTCGGGCCTCCCTGGAAGTGCAGGTGGTTGAGTGCAACACTGTGAAGCTGTCCACAGCCTTTGCAATGCAGGTTTGATCCTGGCCGGCCTGCCAGGGAGAAACCCACATGGCACAGCAGACCTCTCCTGACTCGCCTGCTGCTCCCCTCAGCAGTGTATTTCATCAGTCTGCCTGTTCTGTTCCCCGCTGTCTCTTGTGAATCCTCTCACCCTCTGGCACATCTGGCCTCTACCCAGGTTCTTGTATAAATACATAAATCTTAAAAAAAAAAAAAAAAAACATTGGTTAGTCATTGTTTGTGTACTAGAAGTACAGGAACTCCCCACTCAGATGGTGTTACCACACCCACCACCAAAATACCCATGGTCCGTGGTGCTCCCACCCCTTCCCACTCTTGCCTGTTCCCTCTCCCTGCTGGTAGTGTCAGTTCTATAGTCAGCTTTCTAGTGTTAGTTCTTAGTTGGTTTTATCTGACCCTTTGTTTTTTCTCTGTTCCATGCCTACGTGAATCTATCCTCCATTTGTCTTTCTCTGATTTAGTTTGGTTAGCATAATCTCTTCCATTTCCATTCATGTTGCTGCAAATGGAATGAGTTTATCTTTTTGCTTACTAAGTAGTATTCCAGTGCATATAGATGTCATATCTTCTTGACCCACTCCTCTGTATTTGGTTACTTAGTTTATTGCAATAACTTGGCTACTCTAAATAGTGCCACAATGAACATGGGAGTGCATGTTTCCCTTTGAATTAGTGTTTTTTTTGTTTTTTTATTCTTCAGGTAGATACCTAGCAGGGAATTGCTGGGTTGTATGGCAGATCCATATTTAACATTCTGAGAAAACCCCACACAGCTTTCCATAGTGACTGGACCAGTTTGCATTCCCACCAGCAGTGTAAGAGGCTCCTTTTTCTCCACATTCTTGCCAGCACTTTTTGTTTCTGACATTTTAATATTAAAAACATGTGTTTCTAAAACCCT